CAACGCAGAGCCGGAACCGGAGCTGGGGGATAAGTCAGACGCTACGGAAAAAGATGATAGTAAGGCGCTACACTCCATCAATATCTGTTCTCTCTTTTGCTAACAATAAACGCTGCAGACTCTTCGGTCGGCGAAATCCTACGGGCGGCTGGCATTGACACCGATGACGATGATCCAACGGAGCCCGTACTGACGGCGCGGATGTGGGTACTGGGGATTGGATTCTGCATCGTTGTCAGCGGTCTAAACACACTGTATACTTTGAGAAATCCATCTATCACCATCTCATCGGCAGTCGTGCTTTTGCTGGCTTATCCGCTCGGCAAGCTTTGGGAGAAAGCCATCCCAAGTTGGAACGTTCCTCTTGGTGCGTGGTCTTTCAACCTGAACCCAGGCCCGTTTAATAAGAAGGTAAGAGCTTGGAAATTATACGGAAGGTGTTGACACTGACCCACGCGATATGAATAGGAGCACATCCTAGTGTACGTCATGTCAAATTTAAGTATCTATGTTCGTCTCGGCGCGGACGTTTTGACCGAACAACAAATGTTCTTTGGCTATAAAGCTGGATGGGGGTTCCAAATCATCATGACAATGGCGGGATTCTTCGTCGGGCTGTCGCTGGCGGGAATATTCCGATCACTTGTCGTTCTACCCCATGAGCTTGTGTGGCCGGGCCTCCTGGGCACCTCAGCCCTCACGTCTACGCTCCATGGGTCGAAAGAGAAGGATGCTCAGGCAATGTGAGTGCGTCTTATGCTACTGGCGAAGCATCTAACCGTGTGCAGTGAAAGTTTCGGCTTCACAACCTGGAAGATATCTCGTTATGCCTTTTTCAGCTTGGTATTTTGCATCTCGTTCTGCTGGTACTGGTTTCCCGATTTTATCTTTCCCGCTCTGAGCTACTTCGCTTTCCCGTGCTGGATCGCACCAAAGAACACGGTTGTAAATCAGTTATTTGGGATGAAGAGCGGCATGGGTCTCTTGCCACTCACGTTCGATTGTACGTGCGCCAACTCAGAGTTCGTGTGATAGGGCTGACAATTGTATAGGGAGTCAAATATCTTATGTCGGATCTCCTCTCGTGGTCCCTTCTTGGGCGATCATCAACGTCTTTGGAGCACTAGTTTTCTGGATTTGGATTGTCGCCGTGGCTTGTTATTATACCAATACGTGGTACTCCGCGTATCTTCCCTTCCAGAGTTCGTCTGGTATGATCCACCCACTGAAGTGCATAATAACTGGTCTGAAACATAACTAACACGGTTGCATCAATAGTGTTCGATAACACAGGGAGCACATATAAGGCTGCCAAGATCGTGAACAAGGCATCAAGATATCAGCTAGACGTGGCTAAATATGAAGCGTACTCACCGGTATGAGTCTTTCTCGAACACGACTTTGCCTTATCGACCGGGCTCGCTAACTACCTTAGGTCTTTATGCCCGTGACCTATGCGTTAAATATGTTCGGTCTATCATTCGCAACCCTCACCTCACTCGTGGTGTGGATGTTTCTCGAGAAGCGACAAGAGATCGCGGATGCCATGCGCCGGGTACGGCACAAGTTCGCAAAGGGCAACATAAAAGAGCTTTTTGCCTCAGACCATTCACAGAACGCAGAAGTGCCAATGTGGTGGTATCTTTGCACTACATTATTGGCGCTATTTCTCGCCATCTTTTCCGTAGAGTATTGGGATGTGGAGCTGCGTTGGTACGGTGCATTGCTGGCGTGTGCTGTTGCTATGTTCTTCTTTTCTCCGGTAGGTGACCAACAATTGTGAGCCAGCTCTGTGCAGGATAAATCACTGACAGTGACTCTAAAATAGCTTGCCCTGGTCTATGCAACAGCGAACCAGAAAATCAATATCGACATCTTCTGCCGAATCATAGCCGGCTTTGTTTTTGAGGGTCGTGTTCTCGCTAACATCTGGTTCTTCAACCTTGGATACGTAACAACTATCAAGGGTCTCTACTTCTGCCAGGATATGAAATTAGGAATCTACTTCAATGTTTGTGGTCCTTGTGCAAGTAAACGACTCCAAACTAACCCATCGACCAGATTCCGCCACGAAAACTCTTCATCGCACAATGCGGAGGCATAATAACCGGCACGTTAAGCAGCGTATGCGTCCTCAACTGGGGCCTGGGCAACATCCAAGGCGTCTGCACAACCGACGCAGTTAATGGATTCAGCTGCCCATTCTCCCGGACGCATTTCAACACGAGTCTGATCTGGGGTGCTATCGGACCGCGTCGCTTCTTCAACAATAAGATCGGATACCACTCACTTCTTTACTTCTTTATCATCGGCGCTGTACTTCCCGTGATAGTGTTCGTCGCTAGACGGCGGTATCCGAAGAACGTTATCTTACAGAAATTCCACGTTCCCCTCTTCCTCGGCGGACTGAACTATCTCCCGCCTGCCACGGGAACGACGTATGGTAGTTGGGCTCTTGTGGGATTGGCCTTTGGATGGATTATAAGAAAGCGGCTGTATGCATGGTGGTATAAGTATAATTTCGTATTGAGTGCTGCTTTGGATTCCTCTGTTTCCATCGCTGGGGTTGTGATCTTCTTTGCTATCTTTTTCTCTGGGGCTTCGTCGCATTTCAGTTGGTGGGGGACAAGAGTTTATAAAGTGAGTGATATTGACCTCCGATATTGGAAGTTGGTGAATTAGAAGTACTGACAAGAAGTAGGATACGTGCGATTGGAAAGGTTGTTCGTATCTTCCTATCCCGGAAAGCGGGAAGTTTGCATGATGAAGCTGGAGGTATATCGGTGGCTCTGGTTGTGCTAGGACTCCTTCAATGGAAGTCGGAGTCTCAGAAGAATTAATTCGAACTGTGAATCAATTGGTATGTGCATGTTGATAGCTGAGTAGGTTATAGATGTAGGTAGTTGTATATAGATTTGGCTCAATTGAATCATCAATTATTACAGGATGTATATAGGTGTCATCCTTACGATATTGCTATGTCTTAACCCTCTGCCGCAACTGCGTCCTAAGCGACCGTCAATGCCCCCAAGGAGGAGCGATAAAGTAGACAATACCGTGCCCTATGGAAGCGGCGAGAGGACCGACCTTTTGAAGACAGTTATGTCAGACCTGCACGCATACGCTTATATTCTGTACATACCCAATGAATCCAATGGTATCCCGGAAAGCTGGTAGCTACATAGACGCCGAAGCATCGAGCCGGATTTAACGCTGTCATGTAGACAATGTGTCAGCACACCCTGCGTCACATATTTTCTGTTGAATTGACCAGATTGTTCGTCTCTGGTGTTACTCACAAGCCCCAGCATACCCAGCGCGGGTGAAAGAAGAGCCCCAGCTCACAACGCCCAGAGTCATCCCTACTAAAAAGGGAGACAATGCAGCTCCATAGATAGAACCTTGTCTTGGGTCCAAACCAACCCCGAAGGAGAGGAAAATCAGGACCAAGCAGAAGATAAACTCGAGCAGGAATGCCTCATCTACAGGCACCAGGCGGGTATTCACTGTGCAACCTCCTACAGTGAAGTCCTTAGACCCATACGCTCTCTGAAGCATAAAGCCAGCCAATGCACCGCCAAGAGTTTGACCGAGAAGGTAAATAACCATTCGAGGTAGCGATATCAAACGGGCGAAAAAGGTAGCCAACGTAATGGTCGGGTTGAGATGGCTACCACTCACGTTCGAAAAAGAGAAAATAAATAGAGTCAGGAACAGCCAGTTGCTAATACCACCAAATAGTGGTCCTAGAAATGTCGAGGTAGAGAATATACCGGATGGTGAAGTCGCACTGACATTTGCCGACGTCGAAGCTGGTCGTACGGCCATCCAAGAGGTCACGAACACCATCATCATGGTACCTGGTGGCTCAAGTAAGCTTTTCTATAATTGAAGGTTCAATGCTCGCCTTGATAACGCTCACCCATGCATTCGATGAAGCCGAACTTCCAGAGGTCAATATCCCAGAATCCGCGCAGGTCGAATCCCTCACGGAATGTCATTAGCGGCGCCGCATCGGGCACCTTCTTTAAGATGTCCGCATTATCGGGGTCAGTGCGGTCGACTACAAGCCCTTGGTTGCCGCCAATCCTTCCGGCAAAAGGCTGTATAATGGGCCTGGGCTGTGGCATGTTGCCACTGTCTGGGAAGGCCGTGCGATCCATGATGGCAAGATGCACGTCTCGTTGGGAGGATCAAAAACTCCTATTGCATTCCTGACTTCAGGATATAAGATAACAAAGCAAGGGTGTAATTATGGATAAATTTAGACTTTCCACGTGGTTATGGTCAGCAATTCTCGGGCCCTAACTGTTGGATGACCTCACGACTCAGCACGTCTACCTTTTAAGAGAACCATGAAAGCGCTGCTATTTTTTAGAGGCCAATCTCGTACAAACCAAGGAATATTCTGCACATATTGTAAATTAACCTCAAGGCCAAATACCTCTAGCTATTATAGGTTGGGAAAATTGGCGGTGCCTAATGCCGCTTTAGGCCTAGAGTTTAGGTTTGGTTAATTAGCTGAAGCTCACATAAGGATTAGATAAAGCTGATACCGAGATTGGTAATCAACTAGAGATTCCTACTATTGCTCTATTTAGTCCAGGGTGCTGCATATAAATTATGTTTAGCGTCATCGTCATAGACCTGCAATATACTACCCTGCATACGAGTGGCTTTGGTGGACCTCCAGTTTCCTCGTTGCCTATACCCTGCTGGAGAATATTCGCTATTTATCAAGCGCTGAGGCTGCGGATCCCCAGTGAATTGACGACGACATCTTACATACAGCAGGAAATCGTCGTGATGACCTCCCAATATGGGTTGATTGACCATAACGAGGTCTTGGTTATATATAGTAGATGAAAATAGAATTTCCATAGCCAAAGGTATACGATTCTAGAGTGTAGTTATATGTGTACCATCCTACGAAAGAATAATCTCGATTCTTATCCTGGTATAAATGGGTCGTAAATCATCCGTCCCATGTGCTTTCATTCTCACCTTCTGGCCAACTTGCGGCCAACAACAACCATACGCATTGCGCCTTCTGCACTCTCTGTCAAGAGTCGTTCAGCCTCCGCAATAGCCTCTTCCAGAGTGGATGGCCGCTGGAGGATTGAGGCATACGCATTGATTCCAACGTCGTAATTCACCTCTGCCTCGTCTCCAATCGTACCGGCTAGCACAATGACCGGGATCTGATACTTCTTCGCCCGTATCGCAACCTCCGCTGGGATCTTTCCTCTCGGAGTCTGGTAATCAATACCCCCCTCGGCAGTGAATACCAGCTCGCAATCTTCAAACAGTTCTTCAATATTGAAATACTCCATGATGGCCTCATACCGTGGACGAAGCATCGCACCTAAGAGCAGCAAGCCAGTACCTAACCCACCGGACGCCCCACTTCCGGGCATCTCAGATATGTCACGGCCCAAAATGCGCTTACAAGCAGACGCATAAATATCCAACGCAGCCTGTAGCACCTCTGTCTGTTTGGGAGACGCGCCTTTCTGTGGACCATAGACACATGCCACTCCGTTCGGCCCGCAGAGGACGTTCTTCCAGTTACAGGTAACCTCGATCTTGACTTCATTCAGGCGAGGATGTAACCCGGAAAGGTCGACACTCTCAAGGGACATCAATGACTGGCCTCCTCCAGCACAAGGGATTTCAGTACCATCGCGACTGATCAATCGTGCCCCAAGGGCCTGAAGCATTCCGGCCCCACCGTCACTGGTGCCAGAGTCTCCGCAGCCCACAATGATACGCTGCACCCCTTCATCCAGCGCAGACGCTATCAGTTGCCCTACCCCAAATGTGGTTGTAATACATGGATTTCGGCTGTCGCGAGGTACTAGGCTCAGCCCAGCAGCAGCTGCAATCTCAATAACCGCTGCCTTGGACTGGCCCAGTTCGACGACCCCATAGAAGGAGGGAATCGGTATACCAACAGGACCAGTGACAATGGTCTTGCGCATTTTTCCACCCGCAGCAGCAACCAGGGCATGTGCAAAGCCTTCGCCGCCATCCGCGAGTGGTACCTTGCGTATCTTGGCAGACGGTAGTGCCCGCATGATGCCAGCCTCGATGCAGTTGGCCGCAGTCGGAGGGTCAATACTCCCCTTGAATCCAGAAGGACAGACCAATACATTCATTGTGGAGATATATACTAAAAAATGAATATGGAGAAACGAATGTTGTCGTTGAAGCCTTTGGGGAGATGGATGAGAGTATGAATATGAACGAGTGTTGTGGATATTTCCCGGCAGGAACACAGCTGCCATTGGGACTGCGGCAACCTTTTATACAATATCGAGATCCAGGAATAGGACCGCAGTGTGAAGCCACAAAAAGTCATTTGCTCATATCTTCTTGCCCCTTCAATCCCTCTCTACTGTCCTCTGACGGGTCACAAGCCCACCCAAATGTCGTTGATTCCTCCGAACCGATGAGGCACGGCCACAAACCACACCCTGGACCCTGAGAAAGAAGACACAGAGGTGACGGGCAAGCATCGTTTCTAAATTTACTTAATGCGGTTGCCTGGGCCTAAGGCATATATCGCTCTGGCGTGGGCATGATAGACCCGCTTGGCGGAGAAAGCCCTAAGCGATGCTGTTATCGACGTCAAAGTTCATCTAAGAATGGCACCTAAGGGCTCGTTTGGGGACTGAGCGACTAGGAAAGATCGGGTTCTATGGGTCCACGAGGACAGTTTCCCAATTCTACTTGAAACCTGGCCACTTAGCAAAGCCACAAACCCAAGCCCGATAAACTGTTGCCTCTCTCCTTGGCCAAACAAAATCTAAAGGTCCTCTCCATTGGGCGCCATCTTCTTTTCTGCACAGCCTTATCACATTGAACGTGATTGGAACAGGCAGTATGGACAATGAAAATAGAATATCCCGTACGCGAAGTCAGTCTGGAGTGGAGGCAACACTTGGAGATGAACATAAAAGTGTAATAAGGATTCAATGGCACCGCAAAAAAGCTCTTCGAATCATTTTTTTTTTCGTCTATCTCTACCTGGACTTTTGCTCGCCATACTCGCACGCTGCGCACGCCATGGCACATTTTGTCCCGAGACATAGTCGTGACGAGGAGGATGGAATGATTCCCCTCCCTTCCGTACAATTCTATACGGAGTACAACACTCGATATGATATTCCTGTCCCCGCGGTTCGTCTGAGTTCCGAACTTCACCAGAGACACGATACAGCGTCAGATAATACACATGACGATTCTGAATCGGATGAAGACCATGGGACAAGCAGTGCTGAACCGAATACAGGCTCTCATGATAGCCAGAAGAGTCGTCTGTTGTTTGTAGATCAGGATTCACTGGTACGCTACTCTTAACTTTATTTCCAGTCGTGGAGTATGCTGGTTACTGATGCAGAATAGGTGACATGGTCCGGCCCAGACGACCCATCCAACCCTCTCAATTGGAGTCGTCCGAGGAAATGGATCTCAACACTCTTAGTATCTTGTTTTACCTTTATCTCCCCTGTATCCTCTACTATGGTAGCGCCTGCATTATCGACCATGGCGAATGAGTTTCAAATCCAGTCTGATATCAAGCAATACCTCCTCATGTCAATCTTCTTACTAGCTTATGCGCTGGGGCCATTCATCATCGCACCACTCTCTGAAATGTACGGACGTGTAATCGTACTGCAGTCCGCGAATATGTTTTATCTGGTCTTTAACACCATGTGTGGGTTTGCTACCTCTGGGAACCAGATGCTCGCTTTTCGTTTCCTCAGTGGACTTGGTGGCAGTGCCCCACAAGCGGTATGTATCCAGATTCATTTTTTTTGATGGGAAATTCGCTAATTTCTTTTGAGATTGGAGGAGGTGTTCTCAGCGATTGCTGGCACAAAGAGGAGCGAGGAGCAGCCACGGCAATTTACAGCCTGATGCCCTTTATCGGGCCCGCTGTGGGCCCTATTGGTAAGTGCCGAGAGGACTATTCTGTCATACCCCACGATAGAAGGAAACCTAGGAGCTAATACGAACATTGGACGCAGCGGGCGGGTACTTGACTAATTACCTGACATGGCGATGGATCTTCTGGGTTGTGTCCATGGCCGATGCCTTTGTGCAGCTACTAGCGTTGCTGTTTCTGCGTGAAACCTATGCCCCCAAGATTCTTGCAACTAGAAAAAGAAAACTACAAGAATTAACAGGTAACCACCGCCTCCATACCGAGTATGATAAGCCCGACCGGACATTTGGTCACGTCCTACGGAAGAATCTCATTCGTCCGTTCCGGATGCTCTTTACCCAGCCAGCTATCCAAGCACTGTCCCTCTACAGAGGTTACCAGTATGGGCTGATGTATCTCGTGTGAGGAAGTCTCCAGCCCAGATGATATCCAAGGTTTCATGACTCATATGTTGCAGCCTAGCATCCTTCCCTCTGGTGTGGGAGGGCGCGTACAGCCAAGGAAAGGACATAGCCAGCTTGAACTATATCTCGCTTGGAGTAGGCTTTGTGATCGGGCTTCAATTCTGTGGCCGGGCTGTTGACATAGTGAGTCACTCATTGACCAATGACAGTCCTTACCCTCCAGGTGAGGTATGCTAACCGTAGAACTTGAAGATATATGTGCGCCTTCAAAAACGTTACGACCATCCAGGGCGGCCAGAATTCCGCATTCCGCTGATGCTCCCAGGCGGGCTTCTTGTCCCTAGTGGATTATTCCTCTATGGATGGAGTGCTCAATACCACACCCACTGGGTCGTACCCAACATCGGAGCCGCAATCTTTGCGATCGGGCTGATCATCTCCTTCCAGTGTGCTCAGACCTATGTTGTCGACGCCTATACCCGCTATGCCGCCAGTGCTACGGGTGCCGCGGCATTTGTACGAACATTAGCTGGGTTTGCCTTTCCGTTATTTGCGGAGAGCCTTTATCATGCACTGGGCCTGGGATGGGGAAATAGCCTACTCGCATTCGTCAGTCTGGCACTTGGCATTGCGGCGCCGTTGCTGTTGTGGTACCACGGGGAATGGCTAAGAGCCAAGAGCCCGTACTGTGCAGGATAGAGTAATCGGTTGTCACTCTTTTGCTCTGGTACCTAGGCTTGGGTCGAAAATGAAAACCAGAAGCTATCATGGATCCTACTCTGCAACTTGACTCCATGGCAGTGGCAGTGCATATATCAGTGCGCCAATGGTTGTCGGGGCCGAAGGGTCCAGTTTTGCCGTAACGTTAATTCTGGTCTTGGAGTTTCTAGGCAAAAGCTAGGTATTTTCTTGGTACAGCGAATAGTACTAGTCATGTGTTTGTTCTTGGATGCAGAAACTTATAGGCTGTTATTGGTGATAAATAATTTCTTATGACGTTGATGATGATTTCTATTTTTGGATTTATAAGATCACCTCTACATCGAATGGAGATAGCCAAGAGGTAATGAGTACATTAGAATTTCTAGGCTATATATAGATACACGTGTGGTGATAAGCCCCATTCCAACCAGCATTCTCTCTATGCACAGTGCGCGTTGCATTCTAGCATCCACTTTCTCAGTCATGCTATAGGATACTCCCCGGACCTACCAGACTCTGTGTACACTGACGAACCATGCAGCAGAATGATAATGATCCGACGTAGGGTCTGAGCAATTTTCGAGGTGCAGAAACTATTGTCTCGTGATATAACGTCCAGGCAGCAATCTATTTCTAAAGTAAATCGGATCATCAAGCGCATGGGTAACACACTTCAGTGCTTTCAAGAAGGCGTCGCCCTCGGTTTATGCTCCTTTTCCTTTTTCGTTCTACTCTAACATTGTATTCTCCCGGCCTGAAGTGACTGGTACAAAACATCACACGCCAAATATCATCACCCACTACTACCATGTCGAAGATAAGCCTCACGCCGCCGGGGCCTTCGGATTTTAAACTAAACCCCCATGATGGGTTGGATCTCTTGTCAGATGATGCTACAGCTGGGGACACCAATTGTAGGCTCTTTGATAAATGCACTGAGTTACGCGGAATAATAATTTATGCAGGCTGATATATATAAATAAAGCTGTACTATTCGGCATCTGGAAAAGGCACCTGGTACGGCATATAATGATGTAAATACAGAAAGGATATCTGAGATATTCCATACCATGCAATATATATATCTCTATATAAGTCATTATTAGTTGTGGTGTTTATTTTCGACCTGGGAAGCCAACGAAGTGGCTGTGCTATCAACGGCCCAAGATGAAGAGCGTCTGCGAATAGGCAGTGCACTTTGTCAGATTGGTTATATTATGGGTGGAAATGGCCGTTCCCATTTCATTTATACAATTTATTGCAGACTGTCTGAATGCTTCGTAGCATTCAACCAGTGGCATGTCTCATGTTCCAATGAAACGACCATTCATTCGATGACTGTTTTTATTTCTTTGCCTTTGTGTATTGTATAGTCCTTGGCCATTAGAATGGGATTCAGAAACCGAACAAGTTCTTGTCTTCGTCGTATCCCCAGGCTTGTAGAACGGGAAGAACTGCTTTTTGGATCATGGTTGGCGGCCCGCAGAGAAGTGCTACATTGCGATGATCGGGTTCAAAGGCATGTTTTTTGATAATATCCTCGTTTACATGTCCTTTGAGACCATTCCAGTCATCTCCAGGATGGGATAGCACGTGGGCAATCTCGACCTGGGTACTGTGCTCTTTGGATAGTTGCTCCAGCTCTTTTTTCATTAGTATATCGTTTTCGGACTTATTAGCGTCAATTACTCTGAGCTTAGTCTTGTCGGTTTCATCTCCTAGGATTCGCGCAATGATCTGATATCCTGGTGTAACACCGGATCCTCCGAGAATCAAAGAAATTTTGTCAAAGGTATATGTCTTGTCATCGATAGCGAAGCGGCCATGACCTTGATAGCGAATCTCACCGGACGGACCTTTGACTTCGACCTCTTCCCCTTCCTGAAGACAATCAAGAATATTGCTCATGGTACCACCAGGCTGATCCCCATCAGGGAAATATGTCTTGACCACGAGGTCAAAAGTCCCGTCCTCTTCGCTATCCAAGACCGGTCTCACTGGAGTATAAGGACGGAAGACCAGGCTATCCTTGAAATGGAAGCCGAGTTGAACATGCTGTCCTGTTTCCAGACCAAGTTTTGTAGCTAAGTGTGACAGGCCG